ATTTGGCCCTTGTGTTAAACAAGTTGGTTTTTGCTTCTTTTATTTATTTGTTTGTTTGTTCTGAAACACTTTTTTTGAAATTTTTTTTTTAAAAAAAACCCTGGAAACATTAAAATAACAAAGTAGCCGCCACAATTTGAAGAATCTCAAAGTCAAATCATATGTACTAGCGGAATAGAATTACACAATGTTGCGTCTTTACCAGACTGCCCCTCTCTTTTTGCCAATCAATCACTCATGATAATTGACATTTGGTAGGCAAGAGCTTTGAGTGAGAATTAATATAAAATGAGAAGAACCCTTAAGATTTATAATTTTAAAGCTCTTGATTTTACATTAATTTTTACTGTCAAGCTCTTCACGGATCATTCTCTCAGAAGTTATTACAGTTCTGGAGGAGGAAACTTCCAAAGATGGAGGGGTCCAAAGTATAAAATCCGAAGCAGGCATTGCATCAGGGGGAATAACTAAGTGAGAGTGGGAGGTTTTTAATTGGAAGCAACAGAAACATTTATTTACACAAAGCCAAAGCCATATATGCACCAAGTGAATTAATGACGAATCAGACCCAAGTGGCAGATCCATGGAGGTGAAACAACGAAGAAGAAGGAGAAGGAGAAGGACAGAAGATTCTGGATAAAGGTCATTAAATGAAGCAAACTATTCAAACTTGAAAAGTTCAAAGCCTGCACGCACAAAGAGACAAATGAGCAGTCATGATTACCCATGAGCGTGCACGGAACCAGCAATGATGGTCCTCCTTTGATATTTAGGTTAAAAAGCTGTACGTACGGCTGGCTCTCAGTTACAAGAATCCAAATAATAAGGCAACAATATAAATGTGCCCCAGCCCATCCCCAGCAAATATACAGATCACCATGCACATCCTGCTGCATAATTAAAAGGGATAATCACAGCCTGCAAGGGTCGGGTCCGACTGGTCGTAAACGGGAACGCAAGGCGCCTTCCCTACCATGTCATGGGTTCGATACCTGCGAGTGCATCTGGGATTAGTCTGACCGGTTGTGCTGGAATACCCTGAGGCAGCGATACCATCCTACTCAAAAAAAAAAAAGGGATAGATCACATATTAACGGCATAAAGTTAAGAGCAGGATCAACCTATTTATGAAAAAAAACCCTTTTGATGTTTACTGCGTTGCAAATCTATTGGTTCATCCAGAACCAGATCAGATGCTGGCATTACTCCTATGGAATGCAGGGTGTACGTGTGTAAAAGCAACACAGAAAATAAAGGTGATGGCTTTGAGGCTTCTGTTCACTTCCACTACTGAGGGGCATCTCTATTTTCGCCCATATGCTCCAAACTACATGCAGACAAAATTCCATTACGGATTCTTTGTTTCTGCTTCATATTTCTTCTTCTATCTTCTTCTCTACTCCAACTCCAATATATATATTCCTCCAGCATCGAACAGACAACCAAGAAAAATCAAAAAGAGGATACGTATGAGAGGGTACTTTTGCCGTGGCTCGTCAACTTTTAACACTCACCACACCCATCTCTTTCCATTTTCTTATCTACGTGCGACTGTGCAAGCAGCGCTGACATAATGGTGTTAAATATATATATATATATATATTGCATACGTAGCAATTGATGATGATATTTAAATATTCACAGATTGACGCTTTCATTATAAGATATATCCTGGTTTTGGTGCCCTCCATGCACGCATATGCATGCATGGACACAGAATCTACTCTCAGTTTTTGTTGCCAATTCCATGCATTGTCACCGACACATCACACACACACACACACACACACAGAGACAGAGAATACTTTCTTATTACTGTTCCATTTGGCAGAATTCTTAGAATCATATTCTTCGTAGACAAAATGCTACTTTTGTGCGTGCGTGCATGCTTTTTGGCCACACTTTGCATTATTTTATTTGGGGTTTCCTGTGTTTATCGATCAAAGAATCATGAATTATACTTATGCTCACTTATATAAAACGTATAGCTATATATATAAGATTCATTAACTCATCAAGTGCATCACGCAACTCTCTTTCTCGTGGTGGTCCTCGATCCTTTCCCTTCTCAAAATTTGATGAATCAGTATATATGTACACACATAGTAACAAGATTCTAAGAATATATATACGATCGATCCCAGCTTCGTGTTGTCAGCAACATTGTTGTCATTTCCTTTCTTCATTTTCATTTATTGTGGCTGCTATTATATGTGACTTTTCTTAAATGGGGACAACTTAACTGGAACCCAATACCCCACTAACACTCCTATCGTCATTTTTCTTCTTCTTCTATGTTTTTCCCACGTTTTCATCACTCTGTCCTTTCCTTTTTGGCCCCATCCAAACCACCCTCTACCACCAAACGATTCTTTAATTTGCTACGTTTGGATCCAGGTAAATTAATGGCGTCAACGTAAAATCTGTCTTTTTCGCTGGCCTTTATTTGCTGAAAATGCATGTCTAATCAATCATAGCGCAAAAGAGAGAAATCTATGATGAAAATGGACATTCAAAAACCTTTTGTCCACTTTGATTTAATTTGCAAGCAGCGCCATTTCAATTATACTGTCTACAAAACACATATAGTGTCATTAGTCTTTGTTTTTGTTTTTATGCTATATGAGTCGTACTGTTTGATATGGTCTGTGAAATAGCGTCACTTCTTGTAAATCACTAAATCACATATATTTCATACTTTTATTGATATTGATTAATTAGTTTGGGGACAAAAACAAAAGAGAATGTAAACACAGAAAATATACTATGAAATAAAGTATAAATATCACGAATGTAATGGCCTGGACCTTTCTAACTTACCCCTTTTCTTGGTATACAAAGCTGCCCTTTGAAGGGGGGAAAAAAAACTGATCTTACTCCTCGTCAATTCGTCATCAATGTCAACAGTAGAAGCAAAAAAATTTGAAGCTGAGGATCACGGATTAAATATTAAGCTGGAATTGGGCCCTAACAAGTTGTGGGGTAGCCCATAAGAGAAAGCCCAACATAAATATTGGGCATGGGAAGTGCAAAATTGGGCTCATATGAGGACCGTGGAACTGAGATGGGCTTCCATATATGGAGGTGAAATATTAGGACCATTATCCCCAAGACATTTTGTCAATTTACGACGTGGCCTCATCCTTCACTTCCTGACTAGTCTCCCTCTTCCCATCTTACGGCGACAGCGAGGTAAACGACGGCAAGGACGGCGGCGAGGATGAGTTCACCAGACAACATGGTTGCTTATGATTACAAACCTGTTTGAAACTATATTTAGGGCTGCACATGGGCAGGGCTGGACCTTTGCCCAATGCCCAGCCCAAAGAATGAACGGGCTGGAAAATGTAGCCCGTTGCCCAGCTCTGCCCATAAAAAGCCTTATTAAGTTCGGGCTGGGCAAATGCGGGCTGGGCAGGACAGGCTTTCATGCCCAACAAGTCAATATATTACATTAATTAACTAATTATTTATATCCCTTTAAATAATCTAATGTAACTTTATATTAAAATGGTAACTTGGTCTTAATTTTGTTATTAATAATTAATATACTATGAAACTACTTTTTGTAGTAGCTAGGAGGAGTGGACTATGACAAAAAAAAAGTTTGTTTGTATATTTTATTAAACTTAATTGTTTTTCTGGTTTCTAACTCTTAAAATCATTCAAAAATAAATAAGTATAATGAATACTGAATATTGATGCAACAATATGTTTGATTTAGGAAATAAATATGAAGCAAATAAAATATATGTAAATAAAATTATATATATTATTGTTGGCAGGGCCAAATGGGCAGGGTAGCATACCATGCCCAATGCCCAACCCTGCCCAATAATTTGCCCAACCCGAACATGTCCAATAGTTCTTTTGGGCCATTTTTTTTAGGGCAGGCTGGGCATTTTTTTGTGAGCTTGGACGGGCATTACGGGCAACTGGGCTTCATGAACACCCTTAACTATATTAGACCTTTGCAACGGTTGGTAACAAAAGGCCAAGGAGGAACTCACACTATATGACCCAACCATCAGTGAGAGAGGAGCTCTTGTTTGTGGAAGATATCCATTGATGATTTTGAGGCAAAACTGGTTGCTCACAATCCTCATGCCTTACAACTATTTAGAGATAAGTCCAGCCATAAACGTCAGCGACAGAAAATACTGAAGGATTCATTGAAGTCCCATAAGCCTGAACTTCCCATAACAGGGCCCAGTTTTGGTAGGCGAGATGGTGCAAGTCAAGGAAGCTTGCTGACTCAATATCTTCTGAAGGTATTGCACTTCAGTAAGCATTTTGTCAACTCATCAGCGTTCTTGCTTTGGAATTACACTAGGATATTTACATCTTATACGTACTTGCAGCAAGGGGTCATGAAAGGAGACGTGAATGGAGGAAGATCCGAGAGAAGCTACCCTGAAATATGCTGACGTCGCAGCAAAGGCCCGGCCTGAGCCTTTTTTCAAACTTCAGAGTCTGACGAGGAAGAGAAATAATTGGGTCATGATGCCTATATTCTCTGGGCACTAGAGCATGATCAATAACGTGGGAGATAAGGTGGCATCATTATTTGACGTCTCTTATAATAGTATGACATCTGAGTCAGGACTTTTTTTTTGTTTTTTGTTGGGACCTTCAAGGACATCATTATTTGACGATATGCAATGGTGAGATCATAATGAGAAAAAACCAGTTCGTAACTTCTCTTTTTTTCTTTCCATTCTCTTTTATTCTCTTTCTTTTTAACTGTTAGATTAATATTTTAACAGTTTAGATTTAAATCTTTTTAAAAATATTATTAAAATATTAAATTATAAAAATAAATAAATAATAAATTGCACACTATATTAAAATTTAATTCTAATGATTTGCAAGTAGACTAAATGTTTTTAAATTTTTTTATAAATAGTTTATAAAAAGTTAAAATTTAAACCATTAAAATATGTTAATCTAACGGTTAAGAAGAGGAAGAAAAAGGATTAGAAGGGAAGAGGAGAGGTCCCAGAAAAAAACAAGAATACGACAGCTTCTGTCGTCAAAATGTACAGAGGTAACAATACTAAAAGCAGACAATTAGATGCTAATGGTACAAATACTTTAGGAGAAGAATCGACATTTGCAGTCACATGATTCACATCTTTTGCTGCCAAGACCATTAATATATCCTAATAAATAACGAAACTAGTGACCTGATCGAAGCAATTAAATTAAGATCAACCGGTATCACGTAACCTAAAGCCCACAAAATTTTGTCGATCTGAACATTGGGTAGTTAAATTGACGATTCCTCCTGGAGATGTTAACCACCATAAAAGAATCACATTCTTGTGGGGAACAACTGAACAAGTATGACCAACAGGTCTTCTATTGCAACCTGTGACGCACTGATGCTAAATTGAAGCATCGGAGAAATACGAGTCATTCTCGAAGCTTGATAGACGTGAGTCTGATAGAACACTGAAAAGCTGTGTGTCCACCAATTGCTGCAAAGTCAAGGATACATGGTAAACAAAAGCTATGGTTAGCACTGGCCGCGGCTGTCGAATCCAAAAAACAAAGGATTACGAGAATGATTGATTATTAACTGCTTAAATATGTCAGGACTGAGGTCCAGCCACAGTCAAGTTAAAAAACACATGCATATGGCTGCTAACCGCTAGGGTTTACAAAATTCTCCTTTCATTAATAATGCTACATTGACTACATGATAGTGAATATTTGATGGAGCTCTTTCATAATTCCAGAAAACCCACCTTTATCCACCAACGAGAAATATATTAACACAAACAATTTAAATTTTTATCATAAAGTAAGCATGGCATTACAGGATGCTGACTGTAATTTCACTTTTTATAAAATTTCTGCAAAATAACCCAAATGTAGTTACCTTAATGAATGGTCGGTCCCTCCTAGGGAAAGAATCGATGAAGCTATCCTTAAGAAGCAAAGATACCTATGCAAATGACCCGTTATGAGCCAGAGAAACATGGAGCAACTACCTATACTACACAAATTGAGAATTTCCAAGAACATAATAACAAACAATTTAGTTATCTTACCCTCTCTGACTGTACATTAGTGATCGTGTGTGACCTCATATCTGAACAAAGCGACTCCATGTATCTCCATATGACATCCAAAAACTGGGTTGCAGCTTCAGCCTGTTAAAAAACATGAGTCATCACTTGCCACTGGTTATGAGAAACACAATAAGGTAGATCAATATTTTGTGATGGTATTGATCATACGTTGAAAACACACATTATTTCCTAGATTGGAATGCTTGGACTAAACACAATGCTATTAAAGGGTTAGGTTGAAGGGTGATGGGAATAAGAAGTCCCAAATGGAGAAAACTAGACGGAGCGGGATATACTACTGGAAAAAATCTTAAGCCTCAAGGTTTTTGATCAAAAAGTGATGTCAAGCCTGTTTGCATATTTCCTCATACAGTAACAAGAAATAAAGCTTTATAGATAGAGAATGCAGCTAATGACTCCAATTTTTTCTCAAGTTGGGAATACAGGTGAAAATTAGACAAATTAACGTTGCCATGAATAAACTTTCAACATATTTCTATAAAGGGAAAAACAGGATCCGAGACTTCAATTTTCCTATATATAGCAGTGACAGATACATACACACACACGCACGCAATCTTTTCCCATGCTCCCATGAAGCCAATATTTTGATTTTCAACAAGTGAACTTTCAAGCAGAACAATATGTCTGTCAGTGTGAGATCATAAAAAACCTGAACTTCGTTGCACCTATATACAGGATTCCTTTCCGCAATTGAACTTTCACTTGAAAGTCTAGCGTGAAATGGACCTAAGTCAGAGATGAGTTCTCTATGCCGTGGAAGTCTTGGCATATAACACATTTTGACCTATAGAGAAAAAGAATGGGAAGTTAAATGACTGTCACTTAGCCCTATATGATGGTCATGTCATTGGGAAATCAGAAAAAATGAAATACGATGAACTCTCCTTTTCTAGTTTATTGATGAAATATATAGATAGAAATTGTCATTTAGTATTTGATTCAAAGACTTCCAAGTCAAAAGTACATAAATCAAGGTAGTTTTTTGACCCAATATGTCACTAGCATTTGTAGTAGTTAATCTTGAGAAGGATGTCCTATGTTAGCATACTGGAGATTAGAAAAATCTATCAACTCTATTTGTGTTCGAACCATCGCAATATTTGCTCTCCGATATGCTAAGGAAATAGAATTGCATCTTGACCAATAGTTTTAGCTTTTGACCTAGTGATAAGTATTTGAACCTCTGATTGGTATCAAAGCATGATCATGGGTGCAAACACAATGAGGCTAGTTGGGGGGAGAGGGAGAGACTTTTAGCTGATTGAAGATGTTGGTAGTATCCGTCAACTGGCTTTAATGCATGGCACGTGGGAGGCTGCTTCATGGTGAATTAAGGAGGTTGAGCAAATAAGATTGTACTCAAAGTAATAGCTATTTGATCCTACATCTTTAGTTTAAGTACATGTTCAACAACAATATGCAAGAGCTTCCAACTTTTTGAAACTAAACGTATTTACGTGGAGATCTTGAATATAAAAATGTATCTGTGCAAAGCTTTGAGAGACTGCCCACAGTGCTGCCAAAATAATCGTTAAGGAGTCATTGACCTTAACAAACCTGATCCTTAAGTAAATTAACAAGAACGAGATTAGTAGTTCTTATTTTCAAATCAGCGGGCTTATCCTGGATGCCAATCTGCAATATCATTAAAAAAGGGGAAAAAAAAAAAGAACACAACAATTATTTTAAAAGAAAATGAGACCATGCTCAAGACATGTTTCAATTGGTTATTATAAGGTTTTAAATGTTAACTGCTCATATACATAAATTCCTACCAGAAGTATCCAAAAAAAAAAAAAAGCCAGCAAGACATAGATGAACCAAGACTAACAAAATTTCAGTTCAAGTTATCTTTATTCATACTCAGTTCAGAGATTTGTTCAAAGATTGTGCATCTGAATCTTAACTTTACTTAATCATTAAGATGACTATACTATTAATTATAGTGGAAGCTGAAAATTTCTAAATAGGTGAACCAATAATAACTTTGAAAGTTCCCGTTTTTGATGATTTATGTGCAAACAAAGTTACAGAAATGATATTTTATTTATTTATCTCAGCCAACATAGAAGTGATTACAAATACAAGTGATGTTTATAATTATATATGTATGCATGCAAGCACAAACCGGGAGAAGTGTGGGAAGTAGTAATTCATATGCAAACGAAGTCATTAAAGTGATTTTTCACACGCTATTCTCAGTGCAGAAATTCATAAATAAACCGAATATAAACATATATGGAAAAGAAAATGAACACAAAAAATTCATATGAATTAAAAAAGAAAAACAAAGAAAGCACGTAGTAATGGGCAAACTGAAGCATATACTAAAGTAAAATATGGCAGTGTCTATATGAGATTTAAGACTAAAAACACGCTGTAGTCTGGGCATTTGAGGACCCCCCCCCCCCCAAAAAAAAAAGTAGAAGATAGCAGCGATACTCAGCTTCCCGCTCAGAAACTCTATAAAATGACAAGTATGTATTTTAATTGGGAGACCATATAATTGTCTACAAAACTATAAACCTATCATGTTACTATTATAAAATTAAGCACCTGCTTTAATTAGAGAATCTGATGGTAATATAAGAAACTGCATATAATTTTTTTTTTCCATCGTAAATTTCACATGAAAACAACTATCTGATTCCCAAAAACATAGAGAGGAGATTATTCGGTGTTTAAAACAATAATGAACGTCAAGATGATAGTATACAATCAATTTATTTGTCAAAATGAAATATAATAGAACTCACAATATACGGAACTGGTGCATCAAGAAAATCAAACATTCTCTGGGGTAGAACCTGAAATGTGAGGCTAGCATAGTGTTAAGCATGTAATTAATGCCAAGAGGAGAAACTGAAACCAGAGTTTTTTCAATGTTTACGAACTCACAGGGAGAAACAAACTCTGCCACTGAAACGGACGAATCATGGGAATAACACAGAGCACTACAGCAGATAGAACACCCTGCATCGTTTCAAAAAAAAAAAATAGAGAGAGAAATTTATATGACCTCTCAGTAGCCAACAAAATTGTTCAGCGGCAGCAAATAACTACTCAGCCCAAACCATTGCCAAGAAAATTAGCAACAATCAATTAGTAGGAGTGATTCATTGACTTACCAGATTTGGACACACTACTAACACCTGTTTTTCCAACAACACTCCTGCAATTAATGCCAACAGCTGCCAGTAAAATTATGTATTAAAATTTAAGCCAATCAAGATACATGCAACAGATACAGTAAGTAGCACGGATAAAAACTTAAACATTCGGTGGAGAAGTGGAAGAAAATAGAATCTATACCATATAAAGACAACAAAAAGAAGTATTATTTTCAGTAAACTAAAGATGTTCTTTATATGTCATATGACTGAAGCATAGACCATACTTGGATATACGTAACCTATAAAATTATCTCTTCTAGTTGTAAGAATTATTGTTTGATTGCACTGTCTTCACTCTATCCTATATTACAAATCATGGGTTGCTGCATAGTACAAATTATAGGACTCCGCGGATTTGGGTGTATAATAAAGCATAATGAGTAAGGAAGTCTAGAAAAAGATTATGTTCTACAAACGGATCACAGGGTATTCCTTTTTCTTCGTCTCCTACATTAAAGCTTACACAAATTCATTAGAAATATAAAGCACAAGTCCTCTGTGGAAAGTATACAAGCCACATCTTGAAAGAACCCAACTTAGAAAGATTGCCTGATATTTCCCAAGGCTTGAAATAATGGGAAGTGGGCCCAAAATTATACGCCACAAAAGGCCATGAATACACACTTTGAAGAGCCCAAATCTATAGCCGAGGACCAAATAAACAGAATTCTGCTCTCTTAACAATTGATGACGAGATGGTAAAATTTATAGTTCAATATGAGAATGTAATCCAGTATAGGAGCTACAAGAAATAGGCTACAAGCAAAATCAATAAGAAAGGCAGACCAACAAAAGAAACATTGCTCTAGATGGTGTGCTTAATTTTAAGACAGTGTTCTTCACTAACAAGAAAAGAGAGTTCTGACCAAAAAAAATAGTTCTATAAGAGTTTGGTCAAGCTAGAAGCAATCCAAGGGGAAAGATTTAATAAAGAACTGCTAATAGACTTTAACATCACCAAAAACCAACCAAAAAAAAAAAAAGAGGAAAGCAAAGGAAAGGAAAAATAACAAAACAAAAGGAAAAGTTGCACTTACATTTTCAAGGGACAGAACTCTACAAATAGTCACAATTGTCCAAATAGAAAGTGCAAGAGCTTCCTCAGCAGCAGCCAACTTTGCATTTACCTTTTACCAACCACAGTTGTAATGAGTGAAAATAACTGTGGAACAAATTTCATGCTAACGGCTCCAAAAATTACCTTAGAAGGTTCAAAACAATTTAAACAATTTTCAAGAAAGCCAAGAGCAACAACTGGAGGCCTTCTATACAAAATAGGCTGCAGATGTTCTAGAGGGTGGAAAATAATTTCACTTCCCCGGCGTGGAAGAGGGAGAGCATGATATCGACACACTATCAGTAGTAAATCATTCTTATTTTCCTGTCAAAATCATTCGCAAGAATGAAAGCATATTAAATGTCAGACTAGCCTCTCTCACTTAAATCAATGGGAAGCAAATCAAAACCATTTGAAACTGACCCTAGCCCATTCCATTAAAAATTCATCTCCATCATCATTATTTGCAAAAAGGTCGTCCTCATCTTCTGATTCCATGCTTATGACCGGACTGCCAATTGTAGCAACATGGTGTTAAAGATTGATTGAAAGGACAATGTGCAGAAATGAGGTGTGGTTAAAATTTATTTATTTTTTACTTTTATTGTAACCCTATTAGTTTATTAAACAACATTCAAATTGTACAAGGACATTTTTGGAACTTAAGTTTCACAAAACAAAAGGTAAAGACGGAAAACCTTCTTGCTGTTGCCTGCATTAACAGTAAAGGTAAATGTACCTCCTGAAAGGTGACTGAGAACTCCCAAGATGCTTAAAGGCACGACTCCCAGAAGAATGTGGTGTTACAACCTTTGGAGAAGCTTGACCATCTTCATAGTTTCCAGATATCCTTTCCAAAGAATTTGGATGGGTTTGTGGTACCTCTGAAGAACAATCATGACTCTTCTTTCCATCCTTATCTACATCCCTCACCTGGCTAAAATCAGAAGCATCACTGGCGGTCATACTTCCTGGGGACTCGGGATCCCATAATTTGGTTGAGATATCATCATCAGATATAATTCCTGCAGCGGCAGCAGCAAGGGCTGCTGCATCTTCAACAGGTATTGCACACGCCATCCAATCATTAAAAGACCCCCTCTCTAGGGTGTCATCATTTTCATTTGTTTGATCATCTAGTTTAGGCGGGAGAAAAGAACCAGTAAGAGTCATTTCATTTACAAACTGAGTAATCCGATTCAGACGTTCCTGTGCAGCAAGACTGCAACCAAGTAAGGCATAGTGAATGCTATTGGATCTAGGAAAAAAAACAACGAACCTAATGCTTTAATAGTATGATGACAACCAACAATATGAATCACTATGCGAAAAGGCAGAAACAATATGCTAACCTGTTTAACATTTCATAATGCAACTCAAAGAAAGGAACTCTAGTCAGCAGACAGAAACAACGAGGAGCAGAAACCATAAAACGGCTGCATGCCCCAGAGGGAAGAGTAAGAGGAGACGATATGCCTAAGATACTAGGTGGCCGTTGTAAGATTTCAGGCACATGTAAACAGACCCCGTAGAGAGTTGCATTTTGTGCTGCCTGATCAAGCCATATATAGGCACAAAAATTGTTTCAAACACCATTTTCAGTTCCAGAGCAATAAGATTGCGCATAAAAGAATAAGTGAGGGAAAAAAAAACTGCATAAAATTTGTCAACAGCAGACATGTCCAAACCCATGAAGCAAGGATACCTAAACTGGGAGTTATGTCCATGTCTGACACTTGCAAGACACTTGCATTAGTCATAACACGATACTTCAAACAACACTTGGACAATCTAGATCTTGCGGCGTTGCCTTGTCATTGATTCATTGTCCATTGGTTTTAAACCAAAAACACACCATATAGATGAATATATGGACAGTTATAACAGATAGTAATAATCTATCAATGACTGTCAATGTTCCATAGCATAGGCTTTTAAATTGTGAAATTCCTTGACATGCAACAGGACTTTCTTTAAGCTAACATTCTAGATGCCCTCCTTCCCCATGTAAGAACATGAGCGATGCAGTATGACTAAGTTTCATCTATGTCTTCAATTACAATAAGCTACTTCATGATGGGTCATACCATCAGCATGCACATACTTAGGAAGGTTTTATCGAATTGAAAAGCAATGATTTGTTAATATCGTTCATGTTATGGTGTAAAGTACTGTTCAGCCCATAACGTAGAGGGAGATTGAAAACAAGATTAGGTGCCCATCCTGAATACTGACAAGGACTCTTGAATAAAATGGATGAAGCAAAACACGGATAAATCAATTATTTCTAGGAGAGTTCAAGCAAAGGGTCACAATATATCAAGCTTGCACGCTCACATTTATAAATGAAAGTGATAAACAAATTACCTTGAGTGAAAAGATAAATGATAAATCATCTCTGCCTAAATGAATCTGCAGAGAATAAACAAAAAGAAATGCGTCAAAGACTGATAACTGAGCAGTTTAATTATCAGCAAGAAGGAGAACCAACAGACAGAGGCAGCAAATATGAAATAAAATTATTGACTATGATCCATTTGACTGACTCCATGAAAGATGAGAGAATCCTTCCAGCAAGAAAAGTGGGTTGTAAAAGAATGAACAGAGACATGGTGACAATAACTTCACGTTTTTGTAGATGCAAGAAATCAAAAGTAGAAGCTAACATGGAAAAGAAAGATCGAGTATTATAGAGGCAGCTCCTTAGTTTTTCTCCGTTAGTACTTGCACAAACTATCAAATAATGTTTATATTATAAATTACATGAACTAAACAAATAGATTTTACAAATCAAGGACAAAGCTTCACTTTAACCAGCTTGATTTAGAGCAGGAATATCTGCTGATTTGGAATACCTGCCCATACACAAGTTCATTCAGTTCACTTAGAGATGGAGTCCTCTCCACCAATGATGCCTGTAAATCAACATCCAACAAATGAAACAGTCAAGAAACAAATATTATCACCAACAGGAGAAGTATATCACGAATCATAGCATCTTTTGGCAAACACAAATCAAGTACGAACAGAGAACCCAATGGCCACTTACTAGTTTAATGCAGCTACGAAGCATCATGACATGATTTATTCAAGTAAGTTAATGTTGGGTGGTTAATTCCACTGGTAAGATGATAATCTAATGGTCCATATTCAATGTAATCTGACTACGGATCAAGACAAATAAAAAAATAGTAAACAAGGAAAATATAAAACTTGCATGCATCTGAAGGAGGAGCAAGACTGACTGATAAAAAGTAATGGGACCAGTTAAATAACCTCCAAAATGGAAACAATACAAAACTGCAACAAACATTTTCAGCAAACAATTCATACAGTAGTGTTTAACAATGAAAGGCATTTGAGATATCTAGTTCAGATTACTAGAAATGGAACGCTCACCTTGACACCTCCAGGAAAGCAAAAAGAGGCTAAATCTTTCATGCGCATGCTCAGCTTCTTCCCAGGAGGATATTTGAAAAGAATCTGATGTAGAAATAATGAAATATAGATATCAAACACAGAATTCATTAATCGGTGATAATTGACTAAGGTGTAGTCATAAAAATGGGTAAATTAAATGAATTCAGGAGCATAATATATCCTCAAATGAAATCCATATACTATAATGGTGAAGATGCAATAAGTTTATTTCAGAATCTTCTGAATTCATCAGAAGAGAATCATAGATAATATATACGCATAATGACTATAAAATTAATTATATTTCAATAAAAAACCTAAAGATTAACCATAACATGTTCATCAGAACAGAATCATAGGAACTAGATATATCCAATAATGTACATCGGGATTCTTTTGAGCTTTTGATCAAACAGGCTGGATATTATCTCTGCATTTCGATATGAAAGTTGTTGATAGCAACAAACAAAATTGCTATCTAACATACCTGAGGTTCCAACACTGGTACTGGAGACTCCTGTTGCTGCATCATTTGGAACTCTACAGGCGCATATTTTCCCTCTTTTTCCCACTTTTTCCTATTTGCAAATTCAACCTCCACAGCTTCCAGATTTGCATCTGGATGCAGCCCCACAATCACAAAATGTTCGAACAATGAGGTTGGCTCCTTATGATTTGCACAATCCTACAGTATGCTCCACATCTTAATTCTGGAACAGATTGATGAATTTAAATTTCCAACAAAAATATGTGAGGGACGCAATAGATGGAGCAACTTCCACGTCAATTAGGCAGGCAAGATTTTCAGATGTAAAAGTCATATTGGAACTCTGATAGTAGAATAAAGCAGAACAGAATTGAGTACCAGGGTTTTGGAATTAAGCTGATACCACTGACGCTTTTGGTTCGCTAAGACCTCAGGGTTAAAAGTCAAAGGAGAACCTTCTTCGGGGGATTTGCCTCCTCCCCGCCAAGCCCTCTGCACATGATTCTTCAACTTTTCGTAGCTGTCACTCCTTTGAAGTCCTGCAGTTACAACTTCACTTTGACAGCGTCTATGTCCAGGAGGCACCTTGGGTGAAACGGCAGTCTTCTCACGATGAAATGCTTCTCCACCAACTCCGATAGCCACCTCAGACAACTGCTGTAGGGCCATGATAGGCGACGAGCCCTGATCATCAATAGATTTACCATCTTCTTTTGTGTCCATGTCTACATACTTAGCTCATGTTGTAAAGTTACAGTTCACGAACAAATTGCGGCTTCCGCTCCATTGCTCAACTTGATTCCGAACCAGCACACCGATGGACTATATACACTAAATTAACGACTCAATTAGAATCAGAATTGAATAAGCGGATACAGGTGAAAATTTAGCATTCTGACTCCCTTTAAATCATTAATGATGATCGTTCCTTACAGATAACCGAATCTTAAAACCATTTAAAATGCTTTTAACGATCAATAGATTTGTAATCTTGAGCATGTCAACTCCACAAATATTTTTAAAGTTCTGAAATCCTCCACGTAAAGAATCGTACCGAATTCTAAAATAGACGATAGTAATGGAACTGCTGAGTTTTTTTATTATCCTGGCACAATGCCTAAAAACAAAAGAGCCAAATCAAGTTATAAAACTCCCAACTTCAAATTGCTGGGGACGTAAAACCTTGCAACGCAAATGAAGCACAACAAATGCATGAAAACAAACGAAAATAAAAGAGATGATCCCAAAAAGAACAGGATGGCGTAAAAATCAACATTGTAGAGAAATTTACCAGCAATTCGCACCCCTTGTCTGGTGACCGCATCTTTCAGAGACAAGCAGCGGGAAAATAAAAGGAAGAGGCGGTTGTTCAATTGGAGGGTAAATCTTGGAGCCAAAAATGGGAAACAAAACTTGTGGGGAACCAAATATTTCAAACACTACCCTAAATTTTCGTTAATTGTTTTCTCATTTTCCTTAATGAATTGCCCGCGCGATCCTGAAGTGTGAGGTGACAAATGTTATCTTTGTCCCAAAAAAATTACTATGAGAAATTTATATTATTTTATGAATAATTTAGATTATTTTTTGCGTGAAATTTAAGTTACATTTAGTCAACATAAATAATACTCCTCCTATTCTTAATATAAGACTCAATTCTTGAGTTGGTTTTGGTTTAAATATAAGACCATTTATCATATTTATCAATTTTCTCTAAATTACCCCTATGGATACTCCCTCAACTATAATCAAATAGAAGAGAAAGATGAGTATTAAGAAAAGATGATTATGGTGTTTTAGAAAAAATGTTTCACTTTTCTTATAATTAACTAACTTATCTAACTTCCTTAATATAATCAAATTAGTTAAATAGGTTTTATATTAAGGACCGGACGAGTAATTTAGATGGAATAATATTTGTTTCGATTTGAAAGTTCAACGCGCCGCTTCCCTCGCGTCGGGTGCATCAAAACCGGAAACGGGAAACTGGAAAGTTTTGGGCTGCGAGGGGGGAGAGAGAGAGACCGCGCGCCATGTAGTGGGCCCCAATACAAAAATTACGAGTACTATACGAGTAGTTATAAACATAAATAGTAGTATGATTTTTTTTGCCGACAAATATAAATGGTATTATTAAACAAAGGCTAAAATATATTTTTTAATTTTTAAATTTATACAATATTTTAATTTAATCACTTAATTTTAAAAAGTATATTTTTATACTTTTTAAATTGTTAAAAAAGTAATGATACTAAAATCATGATATTAATAAAATATTTTAAATGTTAACATGTCAAATTTAATTTTCAAATCAACCTGTTATAAAGAATTATCATTTAAAATTAATAATTTTAAAATTAAATGACTAACAATATATTTTTTAAAATTAAAATATTATAACAAGTATATACGACACCCCCTTAACTTTTATTTTTGGGTCAAAATCAGCCACTTAACTTCAGTTCTTAAGAAACAGGGGATTCATCACTCCACAAAGACACGATTAAAATCTAATCAGGTATAGGCAAGCTTTAATGAAAACTCTAGGCCTAACACAAATGTACGTGAATTGTGATCTATCTTATGATCACATAATGGAGACATCTATGATAAATTTTGGGATCTTTATTTTATTTTTGTGTGGGCATCTTCCGTCAACAACAGCACAAGGGAATATGAAAAATAGCAAAAATAAAGAATAGACTGGTTCTAACTATTCTTATTCTACTTCTGCGTAAAAGGGTTGAAAATTAAAGTCCAATTTGAATATTTAATTGTATCTCGTTCTTATATTTTGACAAATACAAAATTAATATCAATGACAATATGAATGGTTTGTAGCGATAGCGCCTTGCTTGTACTTTTCTTTAAATTTTGGTGAGAGTAATTTGTCAGACTTTTTCAAGCATGCGGTACTTATATGCAAACTTTGAATACAATAGACATTTATAATTGGATTAAGGGGCAAATTTACCTCTAAAGTATTCTACAAGAGCACCAAACACCATAAACTTTTCTTAAGTATAAAAGTATATGTAAAGTTTTTAAAATGGTACAAAAATATCACAGCTGTTAAGTCAACTAACATTGACCATTTAACAAACATGTCAAAAGAAAACAGTACAAACATACACATGAGATTTCTGAAATGGTGTAAAAATATTATAAAGTTTCCAATGACCATGGCATTTTGGCATTATTTTCAAAATTTTATATGTATTTTTACGTCATTTTCTTCTTGACTTATATATTTGCTAAACAGGCAACGTCAACGACCATGGCATTTTTGCATCATTTTAGAAGCTTTAACTATATTTTGCACCCGAAAAAGTTTATGAAGTTAGATGGTCATAGCAAAATACTTCATGGATTGATTTGTATTTTAACCCTTATAATTCTTTACAGGAGCATAGGAGCAATACTGTAATGTACGGGTTATTGTTCGAAACTTTCACATTGAACGGGTCGTTATTTGTAATATTCACAATAGCAGGATATTGTATTCTAGTGAGGACAGTATGATCTGTAATTTTTTCATGTGACCCGGCAGTCGGGTATATTTTTATTTTTCGAACGAGGAGGAGGTTTTGTACTTTTTTGATGATTAGAGCTCCATACAACTATCTGTTCGTTCAAAATTACATGCAAAGGAACTATTTTGTGTAAAATTATAATACACAGGCTAATTGTTTGAAAACTAAAAAAATGCCGTGCTTGTGAGAAAACTAAATATAATTACCCTAACCATGTCAAGAAAAAAAGTTACACATAATTACTATAGTCACATGAAAATAAAGAATAGAGTACGTCTGATACTCTAATCTTATTTTTCTGATGCATTCAACACGTTAGTTTTTTTTTTTATATAATAATGCATTCAATACCCTGATTTTATTTTCCTGATGTATCAAGCACCCCAATGTGATTTTTTAGTTACATCGATCAAACACGTTAAACATTAGGATGTTGCATGTACTAAAAATAAGATTATGGTACTAAATATATTTGAGAAATAAGATTATGGTATTGGATGCATCTTTACCTTAAAAATAATATATAAATTTATATATTTTCTTAAGATTTAATTACAAAGTGTGCTCGTCTAACTATAGTTTAAATTGCGATGAGAAATAAGCGAGGAGTGAGTGAAATATTTGGTGCAGGTGAATCATTATTGTGATGAGTATGAATGAGAACCAATGAAATGTTTTGTACAGATTATTGGTTATTGCAGTGTACACCGAATGAGAACTAAAATAATGTTTGATACAGCCTCCTTGTGATACCGGGGAATGTATTTACAAATTGCCACACTTAGATCCCATTTGCTACGAAAATTTGAAAATAAAGAATTAGGAATGTGATTGTAATTAAGAAAATTATTCAAAATTTTTTTAGCATGATAATTACTTGTTACTATTTGTGATTAGGTAAACCCATTGAGGAGATTAAAGAATACCACCTTCCCCTATAGTATTATCCATTCTAATATATGAATTTGTCTAATCCTATATAACAAGAAATCTTATGCTAAACATTCTTTCACTAGGTTTTTTTAATCCCAATCATAATCTCTATTTCTTATTTTGAATCCTTTGTACTAATGGGATCTTAGTATTAGTATAACTGAGGTTTCATCTCTCCATGATTCCTCCAAAATAGCGTTGTTTCAGCTCCTCATGTGAGAAATCTCGCGTCCTGTGACGACAACCTCTTTTATTCACCCTCTTATCTCCCAACCAGATCAGGTTTAATATTCATTATTATTCTCCTTTTTTTTTTTCTCACGCTATATGAGCTTAATTATTGTTGTTATTACAGGAGGTTTCTTCTTCAACATTAACGGTGACGAAATGAGAAGTTCAGGCACGTTCATTGGATGACTAGCTTGTGTGGTTCAAAGAGGTCTCGAGACTAAGCGTTATGTTGATAGTAGTTCACTGACTAATGTAAACATTGGTTTTCTCTTATCATGTTTGTGATTTCATTAGCCAGCCTGGATTTTTTTTGCAAGCAGTGCTTCGAGTTGAATCCCTGCCAAATCGTCTTTCTCTCGCCTTTGTTCTTTTAGCAAACGTCCCTCACACAACTCATTATTCCCCTCTTAAAGCAGAGCACATCTTTCCTGCAATCTTACTTGGATCATGCTTCCCTTTTGTTTCTTTCTTTTTCTCTCTCTCCTGATTCAACTTCTTTACTCTCAACCTGGTTATACTATGTTCGATGTTTAATATGAGAGTTGGTTGACTAATTTGAATAGATTAAAAAAACTAGTTAAGTTAGTTATTTGTAATAAATGATATTGTTTTTTATGAAATATCTTTGTTAATCAAATGTATTAGTTATAACTACTATTATTACAATGACCATTTTAGGAAAAAAAAAAGATAAATATAAGAGATAAAATAAATTATGGTCTTATATTTGGGATCAAAATAAAAATCAAATGAATTCTTATATCAAGAACCGAAGGTAGTATTTACCATGAAATATGTCACTCAATGTGGGTGGTTGATCCAATGCCTTGATTCAAGAGGCCATTGGTAATTTGGTACACCAACATCCTATAATAATGCTAGAGGAGAATTACAATGATATTTCAAGAAATAAAATAATTACAAAACAAGTTAGAGAAGTTATTGTTTTTTTATTATAAAACTTGTTATTACAGACTGTTTAGACTGTCATTAAAATTTTTTAGTATTTTTTTTTCTGGAACCTCATTGTAATTCTCTCTAATACCAATAATTGAAGTCATAAAGCTCAAAGAAAATAACAAGAGTATGGGAAAATTGCAAAGAAAGATTGCTGAAATAGAACAATTGCATACAAGACCTAATTCACAAAATTATTGTCAAAACCCAAATTGTTGTTAGCAAAACTCATACTCTTCCAGTCTTTAATATAAGACTTAATTATTGAGTTGATTTTCCTAATTAAAACCCATTTGTCATATTTATCAATTTTGTTAAATTACTCGTATGGATCTTCCTCAACCATAATCAAGTAAAAGAAAAAAAATGATATTAAAAAAGATAATTATGGTATTTTAAAAAAAATATTTCATATTTCTTATAATTAACTAACTTTATTAATCAAATTAAATTAATTAAATAGACCTTATATTAAGGATCGGAAGAGTACTAATGCTGTCATGGGTTCTTATTTGTATTTTTTTTATTTTGGTGGTCTTTTTTTGTGATTGTTTCCCAAGAGTATTGAGTTTATCATTTGATGAAATGAGATGATGTCATCTTGAGCAAAAAAGGCAACGGATAAAAAAAGTCGTGGAGACAAGTCGAGCCCAATAATTAAGGCCGTATAAACTTGCACAAAATAATTTTGAAACTTGTTGTATATCATAACACTAAAAAGATATTATCAACCACCTATCATTTTGCATTCACCCC